CAAAATTGGTCCATCGAAAGCTCCAATCCAAAGATCGTTATTCCTTATGGAGAATTGGGTAGTTCAGATCTAATTTGTAGCTTCAGTCTGGTGGTGAAGGCAATTGATGGCTAGAACTAGGCACTTTGGCTCGATCAGGACGAAAAACTTGATGATGTTGAACATTTACGTCTACGAGTGTGTGGTACATTTATCTCGTATCCGTAAAATTGGGGATAGCCCCGTCGATGCCCGATCGGTTAACCATGGATTAATTCACTTTTGAGGACCCCCAAATTCTAGAATTGAAAAAGATGGAATTCGTTTGATTTCTTCTACCTACCACATCACTCGTCACATGTCTTTTTTATAACGCATAATATTATAAAATACACATTAAACATCTAGGATTCCTTCTCCATTTCCCACAATGTGATCCGCTTGCATTGGTCGGGCCAAGACAATTCCCATGCTGCGAAGCGATGTTGCAGCTGAGAAGTGGTGCCACGGTCCAAGTGCAAGTGCCTTCAATTTGATCTCAAGCGCCCCTTGATCGTCCAAGACAATTCCTCCCATTCGGTGATATGATATTGAAGTTGAGAAGTGGTCCGGTCCAAGTGCCTTTTGGTATTGCTCCATTGCGCCCTCGTACTCATTCCAATGATGCCTTCTGTTCTTGCACTAGCGGTGGTAAAGGACTGCTGGTTGGCACCGTAGGAATGGGATGGCTTGCGGATAAAGAAGTGGGCTGTATCTCTGTGGACACCACCACTGGACTTTTCCTTGAATATTTTGTGATCCCACTGTCATGTATCTTTTTATTCATAATGGTGCCGTTGTATATTCTGCTTGTCCTTGACAATTCGCGAATACAGTCAGATGTAGCAACCGTGGAAGAGTGATTCCGTCCAAGTGCCTTCAATTTGATCTCAAGCGCCTTCTGGTAGTGCTTCATTGCCTCCCCATATTTGTGTTGATAATACAAGATATTCGCAATACAATGATACGTCGAAGCAGTAGAGGCATGCACTGGTCCTAGTGTCTTCAACTTGATCGCAAGTACCTTTTCGTAGTGCCCCATGGCTTCCTCATTCTTGCCTTGCTCGCTCAAAACGTTGGCAATGCAATGGATGGTCGACGCGGTGGAAGGATGCTCCGGACCATACACCTTCATCTTGATCTCAAGCGCCCTTTCGTATTTCTGCAGGGCATCCGTGTAGTTGCCCATCTTACACAGGACGACTGCAAAGCAATGGTACGATGCCGCTGTGGACGAATGCACCGGTCCGTGAACCTTCAAAAAGATCGCAAGCGCCTGTTGATATTTCTCCATTGCCTCCACATATGTGTGCTGATTGCACAACACATTAGCGATGCAGTGATACGTGTCGGCAGTCGAAGGATGATTTGGTCCCAGTGTCTTCAACTTTATCGCGAGAACCTTTTCGTATTGTTTCATGGCCTCCTCGTGTTTGCCTTGATCGCTCAAAACGTTTCCAAAACAGTGATAGGATGACGCAGTAGAAGGATGTTCCGGCCCGTGCACCTTCAATTTCATCTTTATTGCCTCCTTGTACTGCACCTTTGCTTCATCATACTTGCCTTGGTTGCACAAGACGTGTCCAATAGAGTGATACGTTGCCGCCGTTGAGGAATGCTCTAGTCCAAATTCTTTCAAATATACATCGCGCACAATCTGAAATTGCTGAAAGGCTTCGTCGTATTTGCCTTGATATTCCAACACGGTTCCAATTTCATGACCTGTAGCTGCTGCTGCGGTTGACGTGTGCATTGGCCCATCGACCTGCTTATATATGGCACGCGCCTTTTGGAATAGCTCCATTGCCTCTTCGTATTTGCCTTGACTCCGCAAGACAGACCCGATGTTATGATATGTAGATGCCACGTTCGGATGGTCCTTGCGTGAAAAGAGCTTCTTCTCGATTTCCAGTCTCTTCTCGAAGAGCTCCATAGCTTCGTCAAGTCGTGCTTCTTCCAGAAATAGTCTGGCAATCTCGTTGTACAATAGAGCGACCTTTGAGTTTATCAAACCCGTTTGTTGGACTTTGTCATCGAGTGCAATCCAGTGGCGTCTTCGTTGGGAATCAAATTTCTCTGCTGCTGAAATCTCATTTCTACGGCGCTTCTTTGTGGGTCTCGACTGTGATCCATCTCCCCCTGTGGATGTCAGTGTTGGAACATCGCCTGCGTGTACGCTGATACAGCTTGGGTGCCCTCTTGTTTCACCCTGATTGGATGCTGCTACAAATTCTTCACCATTGTTGTTCATTTTGCCTTTGAAAGAGGAAGAGACGTCGTAGAAGCATCCCTTTTTGTGCAGAGGATTGCAACACACAAGGAAATAGGAAATATTACACGGAAATATTTTAAAATATATTATACGGAAATATATTTTATGGAAATGGAAAATTTTTGCGTACACGTGTACGTGCACTGCTACGGCTGCCGTATTATCTACCATTAGCCAATCAAAATCAACGATTGGTAAATGGAAAATTTTTGCGTACACGTGTACGTGCACTGCTACGGCTGCCGTATTATCTACCATTAGCCAATCAAAATCAACGATTGGTAAATAAGAAATTCGATGATTTCACGCGGTTGAGTATAATAAATTATGACCCATGCAGTCCCACCCATGTCGTCACGACCATTTCAAACTTCATCATGCCTCTCCTTCATTATGCTTACTGAGCCTTAACAATGCAAGTAGAAACGCCTTTAGTGAAGAGAGCTTCCACTTTTATTGTTCTCTTCTGTTGCCTCAAAGAAAGCAAATAGGAGGTGGAAAGAAATAATGATGTGCAATCAATTTTGAGGACATACAGTGTGGTCCCATACGTTTAGCTCAGGGAAATACAGTATATTTCTTGCTCGATGTCGCCAACGAATATACATATGTGGGAGCCACGTGCCAATAGAACAATTAAAAGCAATTGCAACTATCTCTGGTGCACAAAAACTATGTTGATTCCAACAATACAAGGAATTCTTGCCAGTGGATTTCATCACTGACAAAATGAGGGAGAAGCATTCCTCCACGGCAACAACATTTGACTGCATTCGACAGGCCACGGAATGAAAAGGAAAGATAGTGAATACAACGGTAAAACTATGAACAACACGGCTTGAAACAATGGGTTTCCGCGACTTTCGATAATTGTGAAGATTCAGATATAGTACAGTCCCTTTTCCACAGGAACTCGAATTGGCATCAAATGAAGAAATCTATAGAGATACGTATTAGGATATTGAGCATTTTCAAGTATATCCTAGAGGACTATGGATTAATTATTTGAAAATAAAAGCTTTAACATTCATGAGGTTTCCCTTCGATCCGTAATGCGTCAAATACAGGGTCAGTCTTCAGGTTCTGCACGGGAATACATGAGCGATAACGCACAGTGGTATCAATGCAGGTGAGAAACTTAGCATTCTCGATCTCCATGTGATCAATACAGACGGTAA